GCCCTAGGCAGAACGCCCTAGGCAGAACGCCCTAGGCAGAGCGCCCTAGGCAAAGCGCCCTAGGCAGAACGCCCTAGGCAGAGCGCCCTAGGCAGAGCGCCCTAGGCAAAGCGCCATGAGGCAGAGCGCCCTAGGCAGAGCGCCCTAGGCAGAACGCCCTAGGCAGAGCGCCCTAGGCAAAGCGCCCTAGGCAGAACGCCCTAGGCAGAGCGCCCTAGGCAAAGCGCGTTAGCCTGTCTCACATTTCTGTGTATATCTGGGTGTACAGAGCTGTTACTTATTCAGGCACTATAGGGTTAATGTCCCCCCAGGTGTCGTGTTTGCAAGGCAATGGCACCATTAAGTCAGAGGTGGCCCCTGTATATTCCATTTCTTTTGGAGATTTTTTTTGAGCCGTTCCCTGTGGATAATGATGTACAGGGGGCAGCAGAGGACTGCCTAATTACGAGTGAGGCCATCACCCAGAGCACCAGATGTCGTCCCAGTGCTGTGTAGGCTCTTGCAGACACTCATGCTCTGTATTTTAACTCAATGTTTCCCCTGTTCGCATGGTGCCTGCGGCTCTTTCCGGCAATGTTTTGCTTGTGGACATTTCCATTCCTGCCCTGACCCTTTAAATCATTTTTATTTCCCAAACCGCCTTGCAGACCCCAGACTATGTGCAGTGATGTGATTATTACACCGTGCCTCTTTATCAGTGTAATATCCAGGGAGGGCTATTAAAGGCACCGGCTGGTAGCCTGTAGGCGATGCATTATGTCCTCATGCATTATGTCCTCATGAATATATCTTACTTACCTTTGCAGAAATGCACAGTCCTGTTCTTCATGTGCCAGTTCCACAACATTTTAAAGTATGTTAAAGTGGACAAACATCTGTAAACTTTATGTGATGGGGTGTATCATTTGTACAACTTTGAGACATGTTTGTTGGAAAACCACAGCTATGAAGGCGTGGGATATGGCAGGGATATGGCTTGTATTGTGGGTACCTGAAAAATCCCCCCATAAGATAATGAGTAACACAATGTGGGGACATTTGGTCCCCACAATGAGGTAAATACAAACCCACACACACAAGCACCTCATTCTCAGCGGAGGGTTATTCTGGTACTGTTTAATTACCATGCTACTATTTAATTACCATGCTACTGTTTCATTTTGTTTTACCCATATAAAAATGAACGTGACAGGTCAAGATTCTTTCGTCCGTATCTGGTGTCTGATTCAGCCAGTGTCCTGCTGTGCATGATGTCTTCACATTTCACAGACATTACAGGTCAGAATAGATTATTTTATTTTTAAATTCAATCAGCAGTAACAGTCATGTGAAAAAATGAGGACACCTCATCATATATTTAGTTCTTTATTAAGAAATATCAACATATCAATATAAAATCTTCTTTCAAATAATATCTGTAGATAAAGGTGATGTAATTGCATCACCTATGCAAAAACAAGAAACATATGCTTATTTAACAAAAGAAATTAACGATGATGCCGATTTCCACTGAGGAAAAAGTTAGGACACCCTCACATCCATTACTATTTTAAATGCCTAGAATTAGATTCTGGTGGCACCACATCAGGTGAAAATGATTAGAACATTGTTACAGAGCTTTTTGGTGGACCCTGTGTTATTTAAACCACAGATAGTTGAAGTGAGTGGTATCACCATGGTGAGATTCAAAGAGCTCTCTAAGGCCTTCAGAAAGAAGCTTAGAGATGCATATGAGTCTGGGAAGGATGCAAAAAGATCTCAAGGGGGTTTGGAATCAACTATTCAGCTGTCCAGAAGATAATTTACAAGTGAACAACATTGAAAACAACTGCCAACATGGCCAGGTCAGGCCGTCCTAGTAAGTTCACCCAAGAGCAGAACGCAAGATGCTGAAAGAAGTCTCCAAAAACCCTAAAATGTCATCACAGGACATACAGGAAGCTCTTGCCACAGTTGATGTCAAGGTACATGTATGTACTATCAGAAAGAGACTGCAGAAAGTTTGATTTACATAGGTGGTGTGCAAGGAGGAAACCCTTGCTGTCAAAAAAATAACAGCAAGACTGAAGTTTACCAGAGACCACCTAGACAAAGACCAGAACTTAAGGAACAATGTGCTTTGGACAGATGAATCTAAGACTGAATTATCTGGACACAGTAAAAGAACATAAGAACATAAGAAATTTACAAACGAGAGGGGGCCATTCAACCCATCAAGCTCGTTTGGGGAGAACTTAACTAATAGCTCAAAGTTGTTAAAATCTTATCTAGCTCTGATTTAAAGGAACCCAGGGTTTTAGCTTCCGCTACACTAGCAGGAAGACTATTCCATACTCTAACTACAGGCTGTGTAAAGAAGTGCTTCCTCAAATTTTTTTAAAAATGTTCTCCCGCTAATTTCCACTTATGGCCGCGAGTTCTAGTATTTAAACTAATATTGAAATAACCATTTGGCTGTCTTACCAAGGAATTATATAAATGTAACATCACCTCCCTTGACTTAAACTCCACACACCTACAGATATAACCCAACATTCTATTGGCCTTTTTTTTATTGCTTCCCCACACTGGCGAGTGTGGGACATGGAAGCATCAACATACACACCGAGATCTTTCTCGTAATCAGCTACCTTTATTTCAGTGGAACCCATAAAATATCTGTACTTTATATTTCTGCTCCCTGCATGGATTACCTTACATTTATCTGTGTTAAATTTCATGCTGCCAGGCATCAGCCCAGTCGCTAATTAAATCCAGATCCCGTTGTAGCCTCTCTGCTGCTAGATCAGTATCTGCTACACTACCCACCTTGGTGTCGTCTGCAAATTTAACCAGTTTACTGTATGTATTGGTGTCAATATCATTAATGTAAATTAGGAACAATAGTGGTCCTAAAATTGAACCCTGCTGTACCCCACTATGAACGCAGGCCCACTGTGACATTGTGCCTCTAATAACTACTCGCTGCTTCCTGTCAGTTAACCAGTTTTTGATCCAAGCTGCCACAGTTCCTAAAATCCCTGCAGCTTTGAGCTTTAGCAAGAGCCGTTTGTGGGGGACAACATCAAAGGCGAACGTTTTGCCCAGGGGCCCACACAACCCATAATCCGTCCCTGGCTGCAGCAGGTCCTGACCAGCTCACCATCATAGAATCCACTATGAATTCTTCATCGTATCAGAGGGTGCTTGAGGATAATGTGAGACCATCTGTCCAGAAGTTGAAGCTGAAGTGTGCGTGGACCATGCAACATGTCAATGACCCAAAACATTCCAGTAAATCTACCAAGAAACGGCATAGAAGAAAGAAATGAAGAGTGCTGGAGTATCCAAGTCAAAGCCCAGATCTGAATCCTATTGAGATGCTGTGAGGTAATTTGAAGTGGGCTGTGCATGCGAGACACCTTTCAAACACACAGCTCAAGGAATTCTGCACTGGAGAGTGGAGAATGACAGATGGCTATAGGAAACATCTCAGTAGGTTATTTCAGTCAAGGGGACATACTACAGTAGCTATTATGCATTAGGTGACAACTTTTTCCTCAGTAGGAATTTGCATCTTACTTAATTTCTTTTGTTAAATAACTGCATTTCTTTCTTGTTTTGACATAGGTGATGTTATTACATTGATATTTCTTAATTAAGAACTGAATATTTAATGGGGTGTCCTAATTTTTTCACAACTATACATTCCACTTCCTCTTTTTAGCCTAAATATCTGACCTATACAAAATATAAGACATTTATATACTTAGCTTTACCTCTAATCTTCTGCAGGAGTGAAAGTTTGAGCAAAATGTTATTTGGCATCTGGCCATATCAGCAGCGATATGGGTGTGATCTCTAGGTCTCTAGGCTGAGCTTAAGGGCCCAGATGTGACTTCATTTCTGTTATTGTTGTGTAGGTTTTATTTATGCTGAATGAGTTGTGGATTATGTTAATCTAAAAAACCAAAATCATACATGGAACATGTATGCAAATATGATGCATTGGACAAACTGTTTATTTTGCATAATCCTGATCAATTTTTTTATTACTTATCATATATGTATATGGATACAATGCATTCATTTTCTGTTTTTGCAGTCCCAAAAAAATGAAAAAAGATATGGTTTTCCCTGATTTTGATTTCTAAAAAGTGTAAACAGACCTGAACTTGTAAACGCAAAATAGATTGTGGACTGACTACCTTCTAGGGTTCAGAAACAGTTCCTACGATAATGGAGTGAAGACCCCTCCCTCACTGGAGCACAGGCTTCCTTGTGGGGTCTTGCTTGGTGCCACCCACATGTTGCTCTCTCAGTCCGTCTCGCCCCTTTTTCTCCTGATGACGGCCGTAAAGGGTCCATCGGGCAGAGCCTTGATGATGCTCCACGCCTCAAACCGCGGTAGCCCCAGCAGAGACGTGTCCTGGACCTGCTGGATCTCGTCGCCCAGTTGAATGCTGCTTAGGTCTGAGGAGAGAGGCACGCGGTGATGAGCTTCAATCAGTTAGGGTCTGATCCCTGTCTACAAAAACAGAACTGCAGTTTGATGAGTGTGGTGAGTTTCTGGACTGTAGTGCATTGGTGTCGGTAACACTTGGCTAGAGATGGCGATTCTGCACCATTACTCTGGGTAATTTTAAAATGTGCAGTGCATGCTGTTTAACACCTTAAAAAAGCAGTCATAATTACCCTTATAAGACAAACATTAATCTTGTGGTTCTTTGCATAAAGTTATATGTTATTTGCATAGCTAAACTGGAGGTGCATGGTTTTTCAAGCTTTATTGAGGTTCAGCCATAGAGCACCTCTTTAAAATGTGAACCTGTATTATCTTTGCCAAAGGTCTGTTTTTTTACACAAACTGCATACCAAAGGGTCCAAAGAACAATGGCATGTTTTCAGTTTTGGATTTCAAAATCTCTACAATTACTGTGTTTTTTTTTTTTCTTTTTCATCTGTTGAAGGCACTAAGGGAAGAAAAGGGCAGCGTCTCTTGTAGCTACAGTAGATGGCTAGGTGCGGTTAGCTAGCTGGCCAGCCTGTGACAAGCTACCTTGTGACATTAGAGGATATCTTAGCGGTCAAGTTTCTGCAAGTGGTTGACCATGAAACACTGGCTTCCTGAGGGTTCGTTTCCTGTCTTAGACATTACACACCAGTCTCTGGTTTAAGCACCAACCAGTTGAGAACAGAGAGTCACAGTCACAGAGTACTCAACTAGTTGACTGAAACAAAATCTTTGCTTTGGAATTTTAGTTTCTCTGTTTTCAAGTATGAAGACGAATAGATTTTTGACGACAGATCTATCTTTGGATTAATGATAAATGCATAGTGAAATCTAATACGTTGATTATTGTAGCTTTCATGGGACATGAAAATAATCATTAATGATGGCCCCCACTGTGATGGTGAAGCTCAGATTTAGCCCTCTCATATTTGGCCCTCTCAGATCTGGCTTGTTCTGAGTGCTTAGGGCCGTCGCTGTGTACCTTTAAACATCCTGTTCACCACCAGGGGTCTGTCTCCGTTGATTGAGCCTTTGCCTCCTTCGAGGCTGAAGCCCACGCCGCCTGCACTCTTCTCTAGCTGTACGGTCAGGATCTCGCCACCACCGTCGTCTGCAAGTGGAAACCCAGAGAATGTTTTTCCGTTAACCGCACTCCCAGGGCCCGGTGACTTGGAATATTCTGCAGCCACATTGTTGCCACATTTGTGAACATTGACCACCATTATATATTATCTAAGTTCTACGCCTCTCTTAGGTTACCGATCAAATATCACCAGAGAACATTAATATTACCCACAAACCCTTTCTGTCTACTTACAGGACAACTCCTCCACGCTATTTTCCCAGGAATGACTTTAAGCCCAAGATACCATCTTCTGTTTGCCAAAGGATTCCCTCCAGTGCTAGTGGAGCCTTATGTATGTTAGTGATGCTTTCGATTCAGCTCCTGATTGCTCTCATTTGGCAGCAGCTCAGGCTCCCCCCCACACTTACCAGCACTGCTCTGGTCTGGGCCGCCGCCAGCCAGGTCGCTGGGGGGCCCGGCTCCCGCCTCGCCCTCTCCAGCCTTGCAGATGACCACTACGGCTTGCTTCATGGTCCTGCCCTCCCGGAGAATGGCTGTGGCATTGGCGTGGTTCAAGTGCTTCAGAGTCTGCCCGTTGACGGAGAGCACCTCATCCCCCTTCTCTATCGTGCCCTCCTGAGCCGCCAGTCCGCTGGGGAACACCTTGTGAACCTGACCAGGGGGGTACCAGAGCTCAGCCTCAGATCACCAAGGAACCGCCAAAGCCCAAATAAGGCAACAGATCAACATCTGCTCAGATAAAAGCAGACGCTAAGCATCTAAATGTACACTAATGTTTATAATCCTAAGGAGTGGCTGAGTTTGACTCTCACAATTGCAAACTTTATCTGTACTATTTTGGGTAGTATTTATTTATTTATTTTAATGAAAGGCTACTCACAATGATGGCTTTGTTCTCACAGTCGACACCTCCGGCGATGCTGAAGCCCAGGCCAGCCCCCTCTTCTTTGTGTAAAATCACAACTTTGATATCTTCAAATTGCTGGGTGGAGAGGGGACCAAACAGGTCATTTATCACCGATTGACCATGCAAATACTCTTCAGCCTTCAATTATACTAAACACTAGTTTATCTGGCACCTCCTCTTAAGTGGCTCATGCACCTTCAGTAATGTTTCAGCTTTTATCCTGCGTATAGCGTCTATATTTGTTCATATAGCTTTTCTGCATGTATAATATAAATGTAATAATGCACACACAGGCACAGCCTTTGTCTGACTGATTCCGGTCACTGATGTTAATGTCACCAGATGGCCAGATCCGCCCTGTTGCCCACTGCCAACGGCAGGCTGGCGCTTCAGGGATGAAGTCACTGCCCCCCAGAGCCCGCAGTGACTCCAGGTCGCCGCTCTGTATGTCCTCCGGCAAATGAATTCAAGTCTCCAAAATTTAGACGGTAGTCTATTAGCTTTAAATGAGGACACCATGTGTTTTATATAGATATATTTCTGCAGCTTAAATAATAACATCAGTGTGGCTTGCAATGGGCCGGATTTAACTACAATTCGAAGCAGAGCTCTTAGCTGCCCCCTCCTGGGCATTTCTGGGTTTAGCATGAAAGGGAAGTTTATGTCCATTCTGAAGGGCTGAATACAGGCTTAAGTGCTCGGATACTAAATCTGAGACACTCTCATCTCACAGTCCAAGACCTGTTACTTCATGAGCTGAAGAAACAAATGATTGTGACACAGGAAACACAGACGTTATCTTGATGGGGGGTTACTTAAGTCGTGAAAGCAGCTGTCATTCTGTGAGGTTTCCATGGGGATCCAAAGGCACTGGCTTCTTCTGTAGCTGATACTGAGCTAACATCACGTTTAAGGTGTGAAAGGGAAAGGTATGTAACCTGTTGATTATCAGTTCGAGCAGCAGATATGGAGCAGCTGCTATACCTTTAATCAGGGTGTATAACCTGAACTGCTCCATAGTTAGTAAGTGGCTCCTTTTATCCAAATCAGTTTACATGTTTTACTGATATGTATAACTAGATATTTGATTAGGTTAAATAACCTGGTGAAGGCTTAGGGTCTTGAACCAGCCATGTTCAGGTTATACATACAGGTTCATAACCACTGAACACCTGCAGCTCCCAGGTATACAAGGTTTAGTGGTATCGGTCAAGAAGCTTGATCATTGCTACTGTATGGAGAGCAGGACTAACCTCCAGGACCTCCTCATCCAGGGCCTCAACTTCTTTCATCATCCTTTCGATCTCCTCGGGTAGGATGACAGACATGACCGACTGGGCACATTTGGCTGAGATACTGGACAGGCCTCTCTCCCAGTTGCCATCTTCGCTGCCGTCGGATTCCCACTTTATGGTGCACTCATGGAGCTCCGCCAGGCTGGGGGGGGACACTCAAGTGAGCTAGTTATCCTCCCCACCCAAGGATATTGGAGTAACACAGATGAATTACCGATACTAATCAATCTTACTGGATTCGGTGGTTAATTCACCGAACTACGGAGTGCTCCAGCTAAATTGCAGCTCTGTTTGAAAGTCTAAATGGACAAATCTCTCTGTGTTTGACAGAACACTTGCAGTGGCTCAGCTTTCGGAACAGGAAGTTCACAGGAAGCTGCCCTTGAAATCGTGAAGAAACGTCCTCTAAGTACCGGTGTTATCATGTTGCCAACTCCACTGTGGCTTTTTCTCGAATCTCAGAAATCATCTTCCTTGTTCGCTGCCCTATTCCCACCCCAATGGCTGCGCACCATATCTGTCAAAGCAGCCAGTGTATAGTGTGTAGTGTAGTGAATTCAAGGAACTCAAAATCCTTCTACAGAAAAGAAAAACACATACCTTACAGAGAAGCCCTTTTCACTGCAGTCAGCTCCAGGGGAGAAGGGGGCGGTTTCCGTAGTTGGAGGGTCCTCGTCTGTCTTGGGCAGAGGGGATCCTGGATTTTGGCTCCAGGGGTTTCCAAGGCGGAAGCATGGGGACTGAGGTAGGGAGCGCATTGTGCGGATCAGTGCGTGCGACACCAGGTTGCTGATAGACAAGATCTTCCCCAGACTTTCATTATCGAGCAGCCGGGTGGTGGAGGCCTCAGTGGAGAGCTCAGGAGTTGTCAGGGGCAGGCTTCTTGTCCGTAGACTCTGCTGCTTGGCGATCGTAATGGACTCCTTGGATGAGAAAGGCCTGTCCAAGAGGTCATCCTTCAAGCTGTCAACCTTAGGCTCTGGAGCTGAAATGGAGACTTGATCTGCTTCTGGATCAGGCTCATCTGGAGAAGCTGTTTCTGGAGTAAGTGCTTCTGTGAAAGATGCCTTTGGAGCTGTTGTCGCTGAAGAAATTGTGTCTGTAGAAGTTTCTGTTGGAGCAGGTGCTTCTGGAGAAGTTGCTGTTGGAGCTTCTTGAGATGTTTCCTCTGGAATGGTCTCTTCTGAGCTGGATATGACTTTGGAAACAGCAGAATGCCTTCCTGCCGTGCTGGTGTTTCCTGGAGGACAGTCAGAGACCAGCTGTGTGGGAACAGATGGGGAGGCCCTGTGCTCATTGACTGAGTTAGCCACTGTAGATCTGCTGCTTGGCCCACTTCCTGTGTTGTAAGGGCGCGATTTCTCTGTTAAAGGCAACGATGTGGAAGAAGCAAGACGTCGGCTGCCCCTTTCCGGTCCCTCGGGGCTAGAGAAGGACTCGAATGAGTGGATCTTTTGTTTGAACGACAGATTGCCCGATGCCGAGGTGCTTCTCAAGCTCACCCCGAAAGTCCTGGCCACATCAGGGGGCTTCTTATCAGAAACTCTGCTGGATTCTGCCTGTATCCTCCCTACCAGGCTCTTCCGAGTCCAGGTGGGCTTGGGTGCCACAGGCGGACCCTTTTTCACACTCGCCGATTCATCCACCTTGGCTGTACTGAGGTCCTGGGCCGCCTCAGTGCTCTCAGGCAAGGCGGGACCATTGACCTCTTCCATCCCATTCTCTTCACTCATGGTGGCTGGACTGTGCGTTGTCCCAATGCAGGGGGTCCCCTTCACCCAGGGGTCCAGTGGTTGGCTGTCCTGGTGTAGTTCCACACAGGCTTGCCTCCTCAGCACTGGCCTCTTACTCTGGGAGCACACGTGAAGGGCAGGCTTAGGACCTGCCAACAACAAGCACAGGAAACAACATTTACTCTACCTCTTCTTAACTGGCATGTTGGCTAATTCATCCACTTTACTACAACCTCCAGAAGCTAAATATTATTCATATGACAGCAATATTGTACTTTTTACAGAAAAAATATGATTTCCTTTTTCCATTTTTTTTTTGTTGGATTTATTTTTTTCCAGGTGAGCATCACAGCAAATCAGATGCCATCTATTATAGGATGTCATCATTAAACATCAGTCCTACCTTTGTGCTTGCTGTCTCCTCTGGAGGAGAGATCTGTCGGATCTGAAGCTGCAGGGACAGCTAAGGAGCTTCTGTGTGTCGCCCTCGGTGTCTCAGGCAGCCTGCCGGCTGCTTCCTGTAACAGAAACAGGAAATAAAGCACTCCGAGCTCCATTTGCAGCAACCGCAGAAGGTACCAGCAACGCATCCGGTCGGCTTTAATCTGACATGCATTACTGACTGCGGACGCAAATTGCATCAATCCCCCTGTGGATTCAGCAGTGCAGGCTGAGACATTTTTCATACCAAGCATGCAGACACCTCGCTGTGCTGGGGGAATCACTTAGATGGTCACTTTCCACATACAAAACATTCCAAAGGTCATGGTCACGTGTGCATGAATGATCGTGAGATCTGCATCTTGCTCGTACTGTAAAAGCCATTTAGTTATGTGAAAACCACAATATTTAAATATGTACGCTGCAGCCAATAGGCAAACACAAATTATACAACAATGATGGCCATTTTGTTTTTTTCGTTTGGTCTATAATTTAGATTTAGTGATTTGATGTGAAATGTAGGTAAACGATTTGATCAGTTTGTAATTGAAAAAAGCTGGTGTACTTGCACAGGAAATGACGCATGATTTGCATGAGACGAATTGCTGCATAAATGCTGCATTGTAAATAATGATATTCTGGATAAGTGCATCTCCAGTGTTAGCCCCATGCACAAAGCTCACCAGCTCAAACACAAGAGAGAAATAGTTCAACATACATGTTTAAATAGCAATTCTGGAATCTTTCTTAAAGCCATGTAAATACTGCAAAAAAACTAGAGGCATGTAGAGAAAAAAGACAATTTTCAGTATAAAAAACATTATAAAACAATCCATTCATTTGTCAGTTGCTGTTCTTAGAGTGAATAAGAGCAATTAATTTGACTCAAATGTCAGGATTGTGTAAGATGCTGGATTGAGCTGTTCAGACCACCCACACACTTTCGGTTTTAAGAGTTTTGTTTCAAGTAAAGCTTTTAACCGTTTAGTTTTGAAAGTGAAATACAGCTTTTTGCAGAGTTTGGGAAGTGGTGGCCCTGTAATTCACATTTATAAAGACTTACAAACTACCTGCATCTGAGCCAAACCTTGAATGATGAGGCATGCTTAATTCACGCTTAATTCATTTTCATTTTCTTACTGATTATTTTTGCAGATGCTAACATTTGAATTACAGCAGAAAGTGCTGAGCTTCCTGATTACAAACATAGTGTTCCCTGCATGTATATTTTTTATCATTTTACAAATTCAAGTTGAATATTAATCTGTTTGGCATAAAAACGATCACACCTGGCATGTTGATTGGGGACGAGGCCAGGCATCATCCAGGGAATCTCGGCTGGATCCCTGTGAGTTAGCAAGAGACTGTCCGTTAAATCTGTCCAGTTGAGTCTGGGTGGGGCTTGGGGGGTCAGATCCTAGAGCCTTCGAGCTCCTGATCCTCAAGTCTAATGGGTGTAGACAGTGGACTGTGTCAGAGGAGCTGTGGGGAACATTGTAGTCCTGGTATGAAGGTGGTTTACTGTCAGGCCAGGACCCGGTCCCCGATACCGGCGACGCCGGCAGTGGGATGTCCATGCTGTGGACCCTGGCCTTGGGGTCTGATTGCGGGTAGCTGTGGACCAGACTGCAGGAGCTGCATAGCATGCGGTAATTGTAGGTGCTGTCGCTGCATGAGCGGGTCATCAGTTTTGGGACCCGGCGGCCTCCGGGCTGCAAGAAGTTCCTTTCAACACAATTCTCACATCTCGGCCTCCCGTGGGAACAGGGGGACGGTCTCCTCAGACCTGCCAAAATGCCAGCAGTAATCAGTCTCACTGCAGACCTACAGCTCTCTCTGTCCAGGTGTGGCCACATGGAGAAATGCTAAAGAAACAATGCTTAAGGAAGGAATGGATTCAAGAACGAATCGTTATTTGTGGCTTTGTAGTAAAGCTTTGCGTTGGACTTGCCAGTGGTTTTAAGCACACAATGTATATTGTGTTCATGTCCCATGAGGGGTGGCTCATGCCATCACACAATAATCACATAAGTACAGTAGATATGAGGTTCACTACCTTCTATACTCCATTGGCTCCTGTCTCTCTTCAACTGGCTGCTCTCCACAGCCTGAGCGATGGCCTCATTCAGCTGCTGCTCTGAGACCTAGATGAAGTACCAGAAGAACCAATTATACCATCAGTAAAGATCAGTAAAGGCTTCCATCACACCCTGGATTGTAGGGCTTTGGTGATGGGGAACCATGTCAAGTTGTCCATGAGGTACATACCTTGGGGTCGGGGTGCCGGCTGATGAGGACGCGGACCGTACCTGGGCTGCACTGGCTCAGCACCGTGTAGACCTCGTTCAGCGTCATGTTGTAGACCACAGTGTCATTGATCTCCATGATCTTGTCCCCGCACCTTCATGGGGAAATGTGGCCGGCTGAGAGGGAGTCGGCCTTTGCGCGTATGTCGACCTGCCCGGAGGAGTCGCTCACCTGAGGCGCCCATCTATGTGGGCTACCGATCCCGGTGAGAGAGTGTGGATATGAATTCCGGGGCAGCCCTCCCCCGACGGGACACAACAGAGTCCAACTCCAAGTCCCACACCGGCTTCTGTGAGCCACAAAGACAGAGGGATGATAAACAAGTGGAATTGTCCTGAAAGGGGTCACAGTAGGACTATAATTAAATACAATCTAAATTAAGATGTTATTAAGTATGTGAGAGAAAGCAATATCATGACATAATGGGGAAAGTATTATCCTCAAACGTTGCTGTGTGATGTTTGACCTTAAACTTGAGTGCTGCTGGTGGTTTAAAGGCTCCTGTGAAATATTTCTGCCCCACTGGATGGCAGCGACCTTTCTGCAGTGAGATTTCCATCACAATGCGGTCCTGGGGTTTGGCTGGCGTGGCCGTGAAGCTGCAGTCACTCATGTCTGCGCTGGCCCTGCTGATCCCCGTGCTGGTGCTGAGGGAGCGGGAACGGCAGAGCTGGGCTGCCTGAGCCTGGCTAGACAGCACCCCGGGCCGCAGGCTCGTCCGCACCACCAGCATCAGGAGGCCCTTCTTGATTTGCTTTGCACACAAGAAAGTAGCTGCTAAGTGGCTGCATTTGGCAACGGAGCTGAGAGAATCTGTACAGTGGCCATTTACACATTCATGCCATGGACAGGTATTCCCAACAAAGGCCCAGGACCAAATCAACGAAGGCACACTCACTTTGAACTTATGCAAAGCATCTTCATGAGTCAGGCCATGCAGAGACTCGCCGTTCAGTTCCAGAATCTCATCCCCTGCATGATAGAAATGAGGCCGTTGGGGGGGGGGGGGGGGGGGGGGGCAGTGAGCATGGTGGCTCTACACCACGGTAGGATGAACAGCAACAGTAGGGTTGTTTATCAATACCAAGAATGCAAACATCATACTTGTGCAAGAGCATTCTTGCTAACTTGTCTCCCGAGAATGAACTTGAGCTGCATTGAATCATGGGATTGTTCTTATCAACAAGGACGCAACCGATGTATCCTCGATATTTAGGACAGGCAAGAATGACAACTGGGGATTTTTACCTGCCTCTGTTCTTCTGTTCTTGATTATTGAACTTCGACAATGGAAGATGATGTCAAACGGGTATTTGAAAACACAAGTATGGTCAAATACGCATACTGAGAAACACTCCGGGTCTTCTTCACTCTACCTTCCTGCAGCCTGCCATCTGCTGCTGCTGCTCCCCCCGGGAAGATGGTCTTGACATAGATACCCATGGGCCCACATATGCTGTCCTTCCCGCCAACAATGCTGAAGCCCAAACCCTTGACAGGGAACAGAGGGATCCTCGGTGACTGCCGAGCTCATTCAGCGCACTTTCTGAGCATTGCGGGTTTTCTGTCCTTGCTAAGGTGTTACCTTTCCCTGACCCTTCATCAGGACGACATTACAGATGATGAAGGCTTGCATGCTGCTGCTGCTGAGGTGGACCAGGTGAGCCGAACTCAAGGAGCGAGAGGGTCTCGGAACAGCCTAGAAATCCGCAGTTACAGTGTAGGAGCATCTCAGGACACGTCTTTGCTGGAGTCATTCCATGCCTTGCAAAATCTTATGGAATACTACATGACACTCTAGGTTTAACCAGATGGTAACTTTCTATATACAGAATTGACGATTGTTGAAAGATTGAGATTTAAGTGGGTTTCTTAGCAATAAACAGACATTGCTACTTCTGGCAAGACCTTGGAATCATGCTTGAATTATCCTCAAATGATATTTTGACAAGTGTAAATACTGATAAGTTAAGTTTTCATTTCTAACTAACTGGGAAAACACCTGGACTTGTGGGAATACCTGCTGTTGACATCGCTGAGATGTATTTGGAGTAGACGTTGGTAACTATGGGTAACTTCAAAGACTTCTTACCTGTGAAAATCCATGAGGAAATTCCAACTGCTGAGACAGGGACTTCCTGTTTCCGTAAAAGCGAGTGTTCCTCTGGCGATGGCCACGGGAGATCTCTGGAGTCTTCAGTATCAATGTGTCCAAGTCGCCGATCCAGTAGGGACTGACGGCTGAAAGAAGGGGGTGTAGACAGTTTGAAATGTGAATAGATTAATGTATGGATAGCATGTGCAGACTGTCCACATCAAATTATTCAGTTTTTTCAGTCAGATAAGGAGAAAATAAGTAAGTAACAATTTAAGAGCAAATTCCCAAAACTCCCTCAGTCAATTTTTGTGGTTTTTGAGATGAGATTGCAAAGTCAGGCTTCTTCATCATATGTTCCTGTAATGTTTAGCTGTTTGTGTCTATGTGACTTACTGGTGGAATTAGACCGTGTCTTCGGACTGTTAGACTGGTTGCCCTGGTCACTCTTCTCTGCCTTCTGCACATCCCAGTTGTGACCAGTCTCCCCACAGCTGGCCTCCACAATGGGGTCCTTCAAGAAATAGAGTAGTGCCGGGTAGGGCTGGGCGATATATTGGGTTTTTACGATATATCGATATATTTTCATACAAGATATATGATGAGACAATATCGTTTATATCGATATAGTTTGTTGCTTTAAAATTATATTCATAGCGCCTCTACTTCGCCTATTTCTCCTCACCCTACCTCTTACACAACTGCGCCCTTCCCCGCCCTTCTCCCTCTCCAAACACAACCCACCCCTCCCTCCCACTCACTCACAAGTCCTGCATGCAGGGACAACATGGAGACAGGCAAAGACATGAGGCAAGCTGGCGAAGATGAGCTGAGGGGTATTTCACGAAGCAGGATTTCTTGTTTAGCCGCATAACTTGTCAGATTTAAGGTAGTCTGAGCTACATTTAAGTGGACGATTATATAGTCCATTTAGCCCAGATTACCATATATCCAACAAGTTATCCGGCTAAGCAAGAAATCCTGCTCAGTGAAGTACCCCACTGGTTCGTAAAATAATATATGCCGGTGTTCTAACATTTCATCCTAACCTATGGAAACGTCCTACCTTTGGGTACTGCGTGTGCGCACAATGAAATCAAGCCCCTTTTCTCGTGCTTGAAGAACCGCCCACGGATCTATCCTACCTTGCGTTGGAGTTATGGCTTATTTCTATGTTTTCAATGTTCATACATTTAAAATATTTTATTAAATACATTGATTATACTTTACTGTCAGCATCATGCTGATTTACTATGCTGTATGTCGAATTACGTGACATGTACTAACACTTAATCTTATAAGGTATTTCAGACTCACAATGCCTGCTTACATTACATTAGTTTGTATTTTTTAGACACAAGTTACGTATTTATTTTTTGGATTATCCGCTATCAGTTTCAGCCCATAAAAATGACAATAACATTTTCGGTAAGGTAGCACCAATCTATATATATATCTGTCGAAACGCTGTAAGGTAGGACAAATTGACATTTTTGAGCCATTTTTTCATGTACATGTACAGCTGTCTGTAAATAAATTGCCCGTGTGACATTGAGGACATTTGGCTCTGACTTGGAACTGTATATTTGTTATAACTTTATGGGAAAACAATATTGAGATATATATCGTATATCGCAGTTCAGCTAAAAATATCGAGATATGATTTTTGGTCCATATCGCCCAGCCCTAGTGCCCGGTCTTGGTGAGACAAGGCAGCTGCTGTCCGCCCTGGTAAATATGGCGACGCTCACCTTCAGTGTGACCGTTTTCCCAGCGTGCTCCATACAACCGTAGCTGGTGAGGATGCGTGCTTCGTCTCTCACAGCAGGAGACATTAATGGGACTCCACTGTTGACCAACGTGGTACTATTTTCACTCGTCAAAGACTCCTGTGGTAAGGGTTAGGAAGAAGCGCATGGGGCAAAGAAACAACCCTCGTTTTGGCGTGTTTGTACAGGTATTTCAATTATTTATGTGAGCTGCATTTCAGTTCTGAGATTTGGATTCAGTGCTTAGCGACTTTTTGTTCATGTGACTTTATTTTGTCTGCTTTTAATTTGTCTCCTTAACGACCGTTTTTCCTCAGAGCTGAGGCAGCGGAGCCAGTTTCTTTTGCCGCTGTCAAGCTGGCACTGTGAAAACAATCGAGGTATGGCTGAGTCCACATTAGTCACATGTCTGGCCATTTCTCTTTTTTTCCCTACTCGCCTGGATGTTCCCTTCTCCTGTAGAAGCTACATTTGTAGTCAACATCTGCAGTTTCCTCCCGGATCAATATAGTATCTCTGTTTGTCTGTCAGCCAGTCTGTCTAGCTGTCTCTATTTATGTTGCATTGGCAGTATTCGGGGGTGCAGCCAGCCACCTAGCAGAAGGTTCCAGAACACTACAGCATTGGGCCGAGAGCCATTAGAGCGTCGTATGCATTCCTGAGCTGGAACTAAGCCTTAAGAATAGGAACAGACATACACAGTACAATCCACAGCTTCATCCTCACTTACCGACCGCATTGAGTTGGGAGGAGGGGGGAGACTTTCATTTATTTGCTATAAATCACTAAATGTATGAAATTTTTATGAGGGGGGCAGGGAGAAAAAAAAAAAACAGCAGAAGTATTTCTCCGAAGAGCTTGGTGTCAGAAGAAAATTCACCTCGGTACATGCAGTCTGAGGAAAAAGTGGAGATCTTTTTGCATATAGAGATTATCCTTCTATTATTGCTGAGACAACGGGTGCTGCATTTATGGTGATGTGTTACAGTGAGTGGGGGAGTAACTATTAGCCTGTTTTAGGGGCCCCTGGGGTGGGTGAATTGGAGGGCGCTGTGGAGGTGAGGGGCCCACGCATGCCTTACCTCACTGCATGCCAGCGTGTGAGGTGCCCTGGCACGTGACCCCCCTGCTGAGTCTTCCTCCACCTCGGCACATCCCCCGCGGAGCTTGCCATTGGCTAGAAGAGAATCGGCCCCCGGCTGGAGGTCACTGTCCCTGCAGGTTAGAGCGACACGATACATGCACCATTAGCTGCTGACGCTTTAGCAGTGTTTCTGTATTTTAACGTAACCTACGTGACCCCATGCAGCAAGAATAAATCATGCACATTTTCTGGCCATTCAAAATCTACATTATGAGCATTATATAAAAAAAAAAGTCCTAGCAATGTGGCACCCTAGGCGAGTGTCATCGCCAGCGCCCCCTGTCTGAGGCAAAGTGAAATTGGCTGGTAAGTAAGCGCCCCCACAGAAGGTGGTGCCCTAGCCGGCCGCCTATGTCACCTGTAGAATTGACCGGCTGAATATTGTACCTCAGCCCAACACACATAGAAAGCGATTAATCGCTATAAAAACTTAAACTTTCTTCACAAATTGGGGCACATTATTTTCTCCAAGTGAAAATGATTCTTTACCTGTGCAGCACGCCTCCATTTTTGGTGCAGTGTACAGTAAGGCCTCTTTCAGCAGGCAGGGTGTTATGATGGCCAGTACGGGCTCCTGGGCCTTCTTCACCAGCCACACACATTCTCCAGATACTGCTTCTCTGTGTTGGGATATCATTGGAGTTACAAAGGAGCCTCTGTGAGGGGTAAATGTTTTCTTTATGACAAAATCAAGCCCTCCCACTCGCAAGAGTCCGAATGGCTAAATAAGTGAACCGTAAACAGCACACTTTGATCTGACCAGAATCCAGAGCTTCAGAGCAACATGTTGGAGCCAGAAATGGAAAAGTGAAGCTCATTAAAATGGGAGTGCCAGTTAGACAAATGGGTTACTCTTTACTTGAGGGGTCACAAATACTTAGTAGTAACTCTGTTACTACTGAAGTACAAATTATGTACAAATATAGTAAAAGGTGCATCATGATTCATTAGTGATGAATAAATATCAGATCAGTATTTAACTTTGGTCACTCATTACTTGTTCCTTCAGTAGTTCACAAAAAATTACAGAATTAAGACATATAGTAAGAAATATAACAACTTCTTGGAATAAAAGATGCGTCATGATTCATTAATGGGGAACAAACATGAGCTCATTATTTCACGTGTTATTCATTACTTGTTTCTTCAGTAGTTCCTTCATTAGTTCACAAAGGTTCACAGAATTAACAGATACAGCAACAAATATAGTAACTGCTTGAGATCAAGGATGTCCCAATTCTTTAATGATGAATGAACATGAGATCAGTATGTAACAAAGACTTGGTTTGTTTGATTAATTAATACATAAGTAATAGCATAATGCTACATTATTTTAGTCCCCTCCAAGTAAAGTGTTACAGACAAATGCATAGGGTGTTTGTCGCTCACAAAGTATAAAATGAGAACATACATTTTTATACTTGGCTGGTCACAGCGGATATTAAACTGTCATCTTCCTTTATAGTTACGTGACTGTTTCCTAGGAATAAATATTCAGGTAGACACATAGGCGTCTTGCCAATTTAAGAGCGGCATGATTGATTGCCATTCATAAATTCAGCCTCTTAAATCCAAACTCACATACTCTGTCATGTTCTGTGCACGTACTCTGACAGTTGGTCCACTGTGTTACTCTTCTCATCCACCGTGTGCTGCAACTGTGATTAAGGCCCGATGTTTTGGGAGTAAGAAAATCTGCTAGCTAACAGAATGCCACCGTGTCTCTCATACTGGTCTAAGTCACATGGTCTGGTCTAAGTCACATGGTCTGAACAGAAACATCTTTTCTGAAGGGCCCAGGGTGCTTCAGACAGCTCTGGAGCTCCAAGGGCTTGTGACCTGATTCAATTTACAGAGAATCACAAGCACAGGGGGACAGACTGGTAGTATGAGGTTCCATACTATAGGAAAACTGAGATTCATTGCAGTTCACATTGGGGGCACTAAGTGAACATCTTTTATCTATTACTGTCTCATATAGTTCTCATCCATAATAATAAGTCATTTTAATATATGCATGATCAGCTGGCCATTAAAAGTCAGTCGAGAGGCACTCTGGAAAAGGCAGCTGTACACTTACAGTAGCTGTTAGTTCTCTAACATTTCATTTGTATGCCATTGTTTTTCATTGTCTTCATTGTCTCCTGTTTTGCCTCGTTCCATTTCAGACAGTATTTTTCACAAGAACCGAGATAGATTCAGGGTCACTTTTCATTTAAATACTTTAATTTGCTTAATTGATATTCTGGTGAACATAGAGTGAATTATGGCAGTATACCAAATGAAATTAATTCATTTTTTCAAGTCATACAAAATCTTTACAGAGAAAAATCTCTGTGTATTGTCTTTTAAATTCACAAATTTTCCAAATTTCTACTACCAGAATGCTTTTTTAATTGAAATTGATCAGTTTCGGCAGGTGAGTGCAATTTACAAAATTTTGATCATTTGCTGCCATTCAATGCACAGTAAGGAAATGTGCCTGGAGTGTATAGTCATCACCGGTAGAGCAGAAAGATACGTCAATGTCTGAGTGAACAACCAGCAGTACCTTAAAGGAGAAGGTCCGTTTGGAGATCTCTTGTGGACCCCCCGTGGTCACGGTAGGGCTGCCTCGTGGTGGAATCCCCGGGGAGGCCGACCAGGCGCTGGCGTGCAAGGCAGCCTCCTGACAGTCCCACCGCTGTCTCCCCCCGTCCCCGTTCCTGGCCCCCGGTCGGCTGTACTTTTCCTCTGGGCTGTTGCTGTCGTCGCTGGTCACCGAGCGGCACAGGATCAGGGACCTGGAGATGGAAGCGAGCTTCCAGGAGCGATGGCCAGCCTTCCCCGCGCCCCCCTGCGGCTCCATCCTCCTGTCCGGGCCATTCGCCTTCCGCGGGTGGTGGGCGCTTCTGAGAGGCATGTGTGCGCATGGAGCTCTCCCCCCGCAGCCGGCTAATGGGGAGGGCCCTTCTGCGAGGCAATTAGGAAATTCAGTTAGGAATCCTGTTTCATAAGTGTTCTGAGAAAGTGCTGAGGCAATGACTAGATAAAAGCTCTTTTCTTTCCATGGCCTGAGAAAAAATAAAAAGGAATTTTGCCTTATGACTTGGGTTTGAGTCCCTGTGATGTGCAGCCTGGCCCACAGATGTGTAACATCTATGCTATCGGTCAGATTGCCCCAAGGATATGTTTGCTGTGATAGCTGGCAATTATATTAGGAAAAGCGAATCACCAGAGATTATTTTCCACTTCTTTAGAGGAATGGACCTCAACTCAACATCACATTCAACATCCGATGTGTGGCTCCTAGGGATCCTTCACAGCCCAACATATCCCAAGATTCACTGCACAGGGGTGAAGTGGGTGTGTCCCAACTAAACGACAGGAGCAGCGCTTTGTGACTGAAGGGTAAGATGGTGATGACCAGGCCAACCCATTTGACAGTTCTTTCCGGTCAACCTTCAAAGAACGTAACCTACAATGACTACGCCTTACTACACCACATCCTTCGAAAGATGCAGCCCCGTGAATTTGGACACAGCTAATGTGTGAGAGGAGGACTACTGTAGTTAAACACCCATGTAATTAGAAATAAATCAAAATGTGGAGGTCAGCTTCATTAAAGTAGTTTTCACATTCTGTTCAATGTTTTTGTAAAATTCTGATTATTTATTTATTTATTACAAAGTACATTATGTTGAATGGTAAAACAATAGGATGTTTCATAATATGTAATGTTATAATGTTGTGTTCACTTACTTCTCATCCTAAAAATGTAATTGACAGTCTTACTCTAAACGTGATCACTAAATGTGCTTATATAGCCATCCTTCCAGTTGAGTTGGATCACCCGTCCTACATTACCTATAAACTTCATATATCTCAGTTTGTCTTCGGCCCTAAGGGAGAGCTATTTAGAGGTGCAGCAATTAGAATAGGAACTGGCTCCTTTCCTCGCTAAAAAACGAATGGTCTGCAGGGTTTCATTTTAGTATTTGAATTCATTCCTTCCTTACTGAGATTAATAACACCACACTGCTGTTTGACACAGGGTTACAACCAGGAGAGGAGTGTTATGTCACCTGAGTCTGCAAGGCCTCGTGTCCAAGACGCCGCCTACAGACGCCCCTTTCTGTTCGGCCTGGCAGGGAACCGTGTTGCTTTCAAATGCCAGCAAATGCCTTTGCTGTTGGGTGAAAATTACACAGCCATGGTGCGATGGGGGAGGGGGGATGATTATCTAGTCAGATGTAAGCCTGGCCGTTGGACAGAGAGTGTCGGGCATACTCTAGTGTTAGATGGGTCTGTTTACAGTGAATAGGGGAGTGTCGTTAAAGTTGAGCAGGATTACTTGAATTCTGGCTAAAGCTGATGGGATCAAAACAAACAGGAATATGTCTGTGTCCTTTCTGTGTCCCTGTTGTACAAAACAAACAGGAATATGTCTGTGTCCTTTCTGTGTCCCTGTTGTACAAAACAAACAGGAATATGTCTGTGTCCACTCTGTGTCCCTGTTGTACAAACCAAACAGAAATATGTCTCAGTCCTCTCTGTACTCCTGTGGTACAAAACAAACAGGAACATATTTGAGTCCTCTCTGTATTCCTGTTGTTCAAAACAAATAGGAATATGTCTGCACCCTGTCTGCACCCCTGACTTACAAAATAAACAAGAACTTAGTCCTCTCTGTACTCCTGTCGTACAAAACAAACTGGAACATGTCTGAGTCCTCTCTGGACTCCTGTCATATAAAACGAACAGGAACATACGTGAGTCCTCTCTGCTCTACAAAACACTCCAACTAAATCTAATCATAGGCTAAAATCAGATGACACAAACTGTTCTGGTAACTCTTAGCTGTTATAAACAGTTTTTATTTATTTGTATGCTTGTTTGTTTCATTTCCACTGGTTAGCCTTCACCTGGCAGGCGAGTGTGCCACAAGGTAAGCCCTCACACCGGGGCACATGCCAGCTGCACGCAATGGGGTCCCCAAGACGAGGAAACTCCCTGCCCGTCCAGTTTAAGAGTGCCCTCCCTTCCCCGGCCGTGACCCCCTACCAGTCTGGCCGGACACTCCTCCTTCTCGGTTCAAGCTAAGTCCTCCCGTGTGCTGCCATGTGACTCCAACTTTCCTGTACATTCGAGTATTGATGTAATGGCACACAGCAGTAATATTGTTTTGGTTTAAAAGCTTTTGCCAGGTCCCAAAATAAGAGAACACGCAAAACACATTTTCTGCCTTCAGCCCATCTTGGCAATGAGCTAGCAGTCTGGGGACAAACCCAGTTTCATGGACAGACCTGTAGTGAGGACTGCAGGAGTAGCTATGGTGGCTAATTTGTAACATTTTGTTTTTCTTCCTCTGTTTGTGGCTCTCACGTTGCAGGATCCTATGTCTGATCTTAACCCCTGAAGTCAGACGGTCCCTTAATCTAATATTCCCTGCATAGAGGAAACAGCAAAGATTCGTCTGACTGCCATTTATTGTCTAAAGGATAATAATGGATAATTATTACTAATGGATAAAAATATCAAAATAAACTAACAAACTGGTAAGTGATCCAATGAGGGGAAGAAAAAAACGGACCATTAACAAATGCTGAACAGCCCACTTTCTGAGCCAAGAGCTTGGTGTTCTGTGTCAGAATTTTGCAAATATTGTTCTGAATCCAGCATTTGCTCAGTTTCACTGTAATTTGACCCACAGTTTGGATGAAATCTTGCATTGGAAAAAAAATCTTAGATTTGCTAATATTTTGTTAAAAAGAGTTATATTATAAGCAAAACTGTTCTTATTCTCTCTTTTATCATTTCCAACTCCTCTCCATGGCTCTTTTATCCATGCATGTTCTGTAATCAAAAGCATTTGTAGGGCAGCAAACAGAAACTGCCCCCTTTAAATGCCCTCAGTATTTGTATAAGGGTAATTCAGTGAGTTCTGGCTAATACAAACACACAGCGCATAACGTCCGGCTGAATAAACTACATCTGTCCATCCACAGTAAGTTCACAAACCCAGATTCTCACGCGCTACCCTGTCCCTGGACACAGAGCAGTGGGGGGGGGGTCTTACAATACCCCAGGGGTACTATGTGCGTGCAGAATGAGCCCGGGTGGATCTTTCAGAGGGTGCGGTGAGTCTGACCCATTTTAAGCAGTCTTCCAATTCCCCATTCAGGCTTTCCTTTCTACAGATGGCTTCTCTCAGCAGAGGTCTGGCGGTGGCAGCTTTCCATGCTGTTGTTTTATAAGGAGTTACATCCTCTGCCCAGCCTGCCCCTGTACAAAATCCCATCTTCCCAAACCCCACACATACACACACCAAGGTGCTCGTTTTTCACGTACTTAGCTCATGTGAATGAACCTATGCACATTACCACAGCTAAAACCTCTGCGAGATCCCCGCGCTCTGCATGGATACCCGGCTCTTCAGGTAAGTTATCTGGTTATAAAAAGGCTTTTGAGTGACAAGGATTCTATTTCTACAGGGAAGGACAACAAAATGCTGTCAGCTTGTACTCTTAAGGCATTAAGCCAGCAGAAAAAGCACAGGAATCGACATTATGTAACATATTCCACCAGGCCGTTCAAAGAGGCAATAAGATGAAGTCACTTACGGATATTGATCATCCTTCTTAGGTTACAGTGTCCAGCCAGGGATTCAGAGGACGCTCTTCAGACCATTTCTAACCTGAGGTCAGACCTACTGTGACTTCAGGAGTGGTGATACTTCAGGTCTGAGCAGTCTTTGCTCTCAATACAGATTTTTTTTTTTTTTTTGAACCAAGTGCCAGAAAGTTTCGATGATTTAGATTGGACACTTGTGACTACCGCCTCCCTAACTCCCAGGCAGCTGGAAGCTCAGAGGACGCTGAAAGCTACGGAACAGGAGTCTTTTTTCCTGTCTGGCAAACATAGAGTAAGAAAAGCCACTTTGCTTTTCCCTGAGAACTTGTGTGACCTCACACCTACTTTGTGCCTAATAAGGCTGCACTCTTTACGTGATCGTCGGAGGGCAATCGGCAAGCGTACATCTGCGGGGCTGAGAATGAATGCGCTCTTTATTTTGCATGACTGCCTGCACAAGTTTATGCCCCTTGCAGTTATGTCGGGCCGTGTGAGTTTATAACTGTTCCTTTGGTGATTGTTTGAGATCGCTAAAGATCAACCCAACAGCAAAAAATGCATCTTTTTAGTGTGTCACACTTTGGCCTGGGGGCTTCAGCGAGTTCTTCATGTGTTCTGTTACGCATGCGGTTCACATTGACTTGCTTGTTCTTATGAAGGAATGTTATCATTAACATTAGTATTATTCTGGTCCAAAACATGCAGTGGCATCCCTGCCAGGGTGTACCCCAGCCTGTGCCCTGTGCCTGCTGGGTCCATCACTGTCCCAGGGAGCCCCACCCCAGGTCACTATTCATTTTCTAATGTGACGACCGTGTTCCCCCCCACCCTGCACCAGTGAATCCTAAAAGCCTGCCCTGTTACAGGACAGAGCCCGATGTCTGTTTATTTATCTTGCTAGAGGGGACGCCGGGGGTGGGGGGGCAGGATTAAAAGTAATTCCTGGGGAATATTTTCCCCTGATTAAGACCTGTTTTTAGCAGCACACAGGACTCCTCAGTAGGGCTGGGGGGTGCAGGCCTGAATGCAGCCTGTGTGAGGGGCATCAGTGTGCCCCACCGGGGGCCCGAGAGAACTCCCTGAACAAACACAGTAGGGACTGAGGTGGGATTGAGGCCCCCACCCTTTACATTTACCTCCCCAGAAGAGGGGCCTGGGGACATATCCCTTCTCAGGGGGCTCCCTCCTCTTTTGCTGCTGGGCTGTATGGTCGCTTAGCCTCCACACGACATGTAACGCTGGGTGGGTGTGTCGGAATCCGCTAGTCCAGCCTCTGCCCCCTTATTGCGTTGTTTAACTGCTGCTCTCCGTGTTGGGGAATAATATGTGATTGTTCTGTGGCTCCCCTGCCCTCCCCTTCGCAGCATCGAGCTGTGCCCAGCCTGTTTATGAAAGGGCTCCCTTCATTACCACACTAGCTGGTCTGAAATTAAGTGCTTCCCAGTTTTCCAAACCTTTGGAGATCACTAGATCCTTAGAGCTACAAATAAGTACTAAACTATAAAGAGTCACCGGGGTTAATGAAATACTCTCACGCAACACATGTTTTTTTTCAGTTATAATAATGCATGATTGCCATAATTCTGTTTGAGGTCATGGATTTTGTCAGAGGCTTTTCCTGGGACGGTTTCCGAAACATTTTTTACATTGTAAAGCTGGGTTCGTTATTTTTGCTGAGTCCACTCCCAACTCTGTTCTCAGAAATTATGGACAGAGATAAATTAATCCCACTTCAGAACACTCTTAGCATCAACTTAAACAAAGCAATGTTCCTTGTATAAACCTGGCTGGAACAATAAATCTGATCACCTTTTAGTTTAATTTCTGATTGTTATTAAAATGTTTCTGCCTTGTAGCTCTGTGCCCTGTAATGCCTTATAACCCCCAGCCCCCTCTTCCATGACTGTGACCAGGATAACGGTTTCAAAGATGGTTGGATGGATATTTCTGCCTTGCATTGTTAATTTGCAGAAGTTGAATGTAAATGTAAGCTTTTGTCACCCTCTAGTGGAGAATGAATTATTTTTAAAAACACAAAAGGTTTTGGGTACAATTTTAATCTCTAATCGCTTGGATATGGCGTATGGCGTAATGGTTACATGGTGTAATGGTTAAGAAAAACCGCTGGATCAAGTCGTAGGAGATTATTTGCTGTCCATGTTCTGAATCCCTCCACTTATCTTCACCCAGTTATTTTAACAGAGAATCACTAGTACGCTCATGGGAATTTTACTTACACAAAAATGTTCTTAGGCCAGAACGAAAAATGAATTGTTCAGAGAAATAAGATCGTAGAGGAGGTGTGTCCAAGCAACCAGAGGAGGCGGGACCGACCAATCATTTTTCGTTCTGCCCTCAGAACATATGTTTGTGTAAGACTCCCACGCGCAGGGATTCAGCGCTCTCTCTAGTTTGTTTCGTCAAAAAAAAAAATCAGCGTTATATTATCTCGCAAGGGCTCATGGGTAACTTTATAATTATTTATCCAAAAAGAAGCTAACTGCTAGCTGCTGACAGCTACACGAAATAACTTATGTGTACTGGTCGTTTCGACTTTCAGCACTGAGGCCAAACCGTCTTCCCGCGTCTATGCACACAATGGTGTCTAATTGAAAAAGTGCAAATTAACCATTGACACGGGCAGTTCTGGGGTTGGGGGGGTACATGTGTGCTCTGGGAAGAGGGGCGGTCTAGTAGCTTCAGTTGGTGAAAAACGAAGTTAACGGGAGAAACAATATTCAAGCAAGAAATCATAGTGAGTTATACATTTGTAAAAAACGAGTTGACGAGGCCGTCTTCTCCTTAATTGTGATTTTTGAGCAACAATTGACCGATTTTAAATAGGTCTGTGACCGGTAGTGATATTCCAATTAGGCTTGCCTAAAACAAAGGGAAATGCATAAGATAAACGGCCGAGATATGTTCCCTGTTTCCCTGTGTTAAGCCGTCGGGTAATTACACTTCTTCGCTGGGGAGGGTGCCGTCAATGTCCAAAAGTCATAGATTTTAATGGAAGTATGTTTTGGATAACGTTCTGCGCTGCATGGTACACGTGTGAAATGGCTGTATACATACAATCCAGTGTGACAGTCCAGTGGCCTATACTACGAAGCGGGGTTACTGGCTTATCGGGGTAACTTGTCGGATTTAAGGTAGTCTGGGCAAAATGTAAGCGAAGGAATATTAAGTTCATTTAAACTGTGGTACCTTAAATCCGACAATTTACCGCGATAAGCCAGTAACCCCGCTTCGTAGTACAGGCCACAGGTAACATGAATGAATGCTGTTATATTATTGATTTGCTATAGATGGCGCCATGGCGCTTTAGAGCAAAGATCTTGGTCAGTTTTCAGTTTCTGGTCTGAATTCTTATGATGGTTTGCAAGCAGGGCATTGCAGTCGTACAGTGAGTCTCAGCATATAACGTGCATCTTCTAAGACCTCCAGACCATTTCAGAAATGGTCCCAAATGGACAGATTGACCACAATGACTCAGTCATGACTGACTAAATGAACTGCTAGCACGTATTAGTTCCTTTTGACTTGGGTGTGCAGGCTCTCTATAGGTGGGACACAGGGTCTTTAGGCTTTTTTTGTTGTTTGATTAATTTCATTAAAACTAAATATTTGGTTAGAAAGTAATATCTGCTGTTGAGGGGCTTGAATATTTTACATATTGTCACATTTCAAGGCAGCTTATTTGTACTCCATCCATCTTCTGTAACTGCTTGTCCTATTCAGGGTCATGGGGATCCAGAGCTTAAGGGTTCAAGGCAGGGAACAACCCAGGATGGGGCACAAAGCAGGGAACAACCCAGGATGGGGCACTAACCCATCGCAGGGCACAAGGCAGGGAACAACCCAGGATGGGGCACTAACCCATCGCAGGGCACAAGGCAGGGAACAACCCAGGATGGGGCACTAACCCATCGCAGGGTACACTCACACACCATTGACTCATACAAGCACACCTATGGGCAATTTGGTAACTCCAGTCAGCTTCAGCATGCTTTTGGACTGTGGAGGGAAACTGGAAAACCCGCAGGAAACCCCATAATGACACGGGGAGAACATACAAATTCCACACATGGAACTTCGGCGGACACTCAAACCCAGGTCCCACAGGTGTGAGGCGACAGGCCTAACCACTAACCCCGTCTCATTTGTGGTCACGGACACCAATTTTATTTTCTGACCAAACAGTACCTGATTAATCAGTTTTTAATTTCTCGAATGCTGGAACTTGAAGAGAACCCACAGGCTTTATGGAAATCCTAAATTGTGTTTTACACTCCAAGTTTGGTGATAACAGTGTGAGCAGCAGAGTGAAAATGAATCCAGCTGCTCATTCACATGAACTAAGCCTAGTTCTTTCAATTTACACGCAGGCGACACCAGATAAGTGACCTTTGAGAGAAGCTCATGTTGGATGTAATCTTGGATGACAAAAAAGTGGATTTCTCATAATACTGATGAAAAACCACTCCGTTTTTATTACAAGTGCAAAAAAGAAAAACAGATTTCTGTACCTGTAGTGAAAGCTTGACTGCCATGAAGAAAATGCATTTAGTTGAAGCACTGGAGCAAAAAGGCTTGATATTGTTTTAAAATTTGTTACTGTCAGGATAACATAAATTATTTTAAAAGTGAAAGTCTGGTGTGCAGTTCTGTGAAACTTTGTTTTGAACGTTTACACTGATGGTTCACACTACCTTATGTTCTTTTGGTGTCTAGCACAGTTCCCAAACCAGTCCTCGGGGACCTACATACAGTTCATGTTTTTCTCTCTCCCAGCTTCAGAGGGAGCAAAAATGTGAACTGTCTGACAAGGAACTCAGAGGGAGCAAAAACGTGGACCGGATGTGGGTCCCGGAGGACTGGATTCGGAAAAACTGGTCTAGCAGATTGTCAGTCATCACTGAGACTGAAACATTGTGACAGATCTGAATTCTTTTAATTTTCTTATTTATTTGATGAGTTCTCTAACAGTTTTATGCTTAAACATCCTGAACTGCAAGCTGGGGCAGAAGTCAGCAGCTCAGCAGGTGCCCAATAATATTTTTGAGTCCTATTCATTCATTTGCACATTTTTGTCAATAACAACAGAAATGACGGCAGAACAAGTCGTGCTTTATACATTTTAAACTG